ATCACTACAGACTCCTACTTTTGTGAGGAAAGTGAGGAACGTAATGTCCCTGGTGTTACTTGTTATCCAGCTAGACAAGCATGACGTGAAAAAAAATCTAACTAAACTTTGGTGCGTTGGCTGGTGCTGAGCCACAGAAAGACACGTCAGAAAAACAAAATTGTGTTACAGCTGTTGTGAATTGTATCTCTTTGCAATAAAACGTATTGGGTACCTTTATGTGGACATAGGAAAATGAAGACCCCTTTTGAAATAATCAGCAAATTTAAGACTTTTTAAGGCCTAAAACTGTGTTTTGGAAATTTAAGATATTAATACTTGAAGATCCTGCAGACACCCTGATGTTAGGATGAAAATCTGACCAATGAGGCCTTATTGTAAAGTGTTACCTACATCATTTTTTATAATTTGATCAGTTTGAAACATTTGTTTCGTCTGAAAATCAATAAAGCCAAACACATGTTAAAAAAAACAAAGATTGGGACGCATCTTACTTAAAATTGATTTCTCGGTTCACATTTTTATGTATGCATGTATGGATCAAAGGAAATATATTTCCAGTTTCTGTATACCTTGTTTTGCCTTCAGATTGCTTAAAATAAGTTTTAAAATCACTTAAAAAAAAAAAAAAAAAAAAAAAGGTTACAAATTTACAAATTTTATTATGACTTTTTATAGGCAGCTAGGTGACGAATCTGTCATCTCTAGGCTATACCATCTCATATCAGAACACTCTGTTTGGACTTTAAAGGACTTACCTTTGAAGTTTGCATCCTTCTGAGGATTCAGCCTCTGAAATGAGACACAGCTATTGTCCCTCTAAATTGTGTTGTTGCTTAAATGAGGGACTTTTACTCTTATTCTTAACTGAAATGATACATTTTTCCCTGAATTCCATCAATATTGCTTTACCAAACTTGTGCTTGTTACTTCTGAAATTAAAAGGATTGTAATCTTTTACTGTAGATTGTGGATCATAACAACAACAAAAACAACACACTAAATTAAAATAAACTGACACAGAGTGACTCCAAAGTGTTTTGATTAATAATAATAACAACAGTCATTTGAATTGCTAATAGTTATAATTGTTCACTGCCAGTGTCTTCATAGGACTGAATGAAATCAGCACACTAAACAGACACTTTTTAAAGGGAAGGTAACTAAACGTGACCTGGCCAGGCCATCAATCTGTGATATGTTTGTGTAACGTATGTTGTTTTGGGATCCGGTGACCTCAGGATGGAGGTCAGTCACTGTCTCGCCACTAAAGAGTTGTCGCCTGGCCTCAGGGCGCAAAGAAGCACGACGCTATGGAACATTAACATGCAGATTGTTGTTAAGCTTTGTCAGTAGGAGTGCGTTTCCATTGGGAGCAGCGAAGGGGAAAATAACAAGAGCATCTCGAGTCTTTCTCTGAAGGAGCCCTGGATTTCACAAGTTCAAGGGGGAGGATTTGTTTGAGGCAATGCTTTTAAGTCATTGTGCACAAATTGTAAAGGACACAAAACGTAATTGGAATTTTAAGAAGATACTACTGAAGAAAATACTGTTTCAGCTTTTTTAAATCCTGAATTTCATCCATATTTTACTGGTTTACTTCCATTTCTAATTGTTTATGAAGATAGCTACTAGTTTCTAAAGGAAAAACAAATATTTTGAGGTTTATAAGCTTAAAATTTGGTGTCATTTGTTTACATTAGAGTAAATCACATTAGTTAACATGAACTGACAATGAACAATATTTGTACAGCATTAAAAGGTATTAATTTGTATTAATGTTAATTATTCACTCAAGATTAACGGACATATTGCTCAATTTTATGACTGTATTACAGAAAAACAATTGCCATTTTTATCAATACTTTGAATTAGAGCTGCATGATATCAGATAAATATGACATTGGGATATATTGTTTTTCTGCGATGTGTATTACGATATAAATACAGTTTTACCATGTAGTTTGAACAGCTCTATTTAAAAAGTGTTAATTAAGTAGACTGATTTGGGATTATTCTGTAGGGGAGTGAGTCATTCATAAAATATAGAAAAATTACAGATAAAAGTGAAATATACAGTGTTTTCTGAGGAGTCTAAAGGCTGGTTTATACTTCTGCGTCAAGTGATTGGTGTGACCCGTGGTGCATGCCTTGGGCATTGACGTGCATTTATACTTCTGGATGCTGTTTGTGTTGCTCTGCAGTAACACTTCCATATCGCTAGCTGGCAGTAGGTGTTTATGTTCCTCTGTGTCGAGTTTCTTTGCTGGTGTTTTGTTTTTTTTGAACGCTACCTTAATGTAGAAGTAGCTCAAACTTGCTCACTCAGAGGCAGGAACCGGCAGACAACTTTAATCATAAGGTAAACACAAAACAAAACTTTCCACCTGGCGCTCCTTTACATGTAACTCGACACTTGTGAACACTCGCTCCAATTGGTTCACGCAGCTATCGTTTCCACCCACACTCGTCAGCGCTACCAAGCTGACCATTCACAGGGCTTGCACTATGCATCGTTGTGAAGTGTAATTAAATTTTTTGAGAGGTACGCAACAGCTGCGGCGAGGAACAAGCAAAGTATAAATCAGTCTTAACAGTATTCAGGTAATGATAACGAAAAATTTAAAGTAAAATGACACCACAGTCTTCATTATTTAAATAATCCAATGCAATATAACTTAACTTCAGTCACAAACGGTAGCTAAAGTTACAGTGATTTGTTATATATTTTTTCTAAGTACTGTCATTTTAGTTTTACTAATGTTAGTCTTAATTTAAAGTAAACCATCTAAACTAGTGAAACTAGCTAACAAAGAATTAGACTTTATTTGTAATTTTTTTGTATGTTTATCTATTTATAATTATTTATTTTTATTTCAATATTTGAATTATTCAAACAAGTAACACAAATGTTTTTTATTTTTTTAGTAAAATACTTTAATACTTTAACCATAATAACTCTACTTTAGTTCTCCCCGTGTTTGCGTGGATTTTCTCCGAATGCTCCGGTTTCCCCCACAGTCCAAAGACATGCGCTATAGATGAATTGGATGAACTAAATTTGCCGTAGAGTATGTGTGTTAATGTGAGATTGTAGGTTTTAATAATAATTCAATTTATTCTTAGTTTGGTTATTGGAATATTTTTTTCTCGTTTTCATTAGTAATATTTATTTTATTTCTTAAATTATTTCTTATATATTTTATTAGAATTTTTCTAGTAACAAAAATAATTTTAGTCTTTCAGTTTTTCTATAATAACCCTGCTACGAACTTGAACGTAAATCTTTATGCCATTTCAAACATTAACTGTGCATAATAAATGCTGTTTAAAAATAATAATAGTTCGATTAGACATTATCGAAAAGCGTCCACCAATCTCAGGTTAATAATCAAACACAAACTGCCAAGTGACACGATCCATTTAAACCGCGACTTAATTTGACATAATAGTACTTTTCGTTCAATCAAAGAACTCAAGGAAAGAGCTGCCTCCTCTCCTTATATCTCTGCAGGTGTCCGCGCGTCCATTAACGCTCAACAGTACATGTTGACTAATTGGCGCTTCTGTTAAGAAGCACTTTGGGGATTTAGAGAGCGAGACAAACAAGTGTCCCCATGGGTCGTCACCTGACCTAAACTACCGCCTGTTTATCCTGAAACCACTAATTGGGACCAAGCCTGGCGTTTTGTCTTTTGTACATTCAAGTGGGTGTAGAAGAAAGAGATTTAAAGAAAAAAAATAAGCCTGTGTTATTCTGAATGAAGATGAAGAAATGGCTGTAAAATTAAAGTGTAGGCACAGATAATTTATTCACTGAGGAGTTTTACTGTTTTAAAATGACGACTGTGAATGATTAGTGTAAATAAAACCAAACAAGTTTCAGAGGAGTTTACTTTGATAAATGGTGTCTTGATAAAGGCTTTAAATAAAAAAGATGGAAACGTGTTGCGATAAGTTTCCACTAAGGATTTGCCTATAGAGATGAATAAATAATGCAGTTAATGAGGGACGGTGTTTCACATGTTACAGCTCATTTAAAGCAAATGTTAATAAGTCCCTGTGAGAGGCTGTGTTTTTTTTTAGAGCGCCATCCTGAGACATGGTTGAGGCAGTGCTTTACTGTGTATATAAGGGATGTAAGAAAACTGAATGGAAAAAAGTCATTTAATTTTCTTGTCACTGTTTGAGACGCATGTGTATTGTTTGGGTCATGTGGCCACACGGTGCATTTGGGTGGTTTTTTTTTATTATTATTTATATTTGGCTTGGAAGTGAGCGTTTGTAGTGTTTTGGTGTCTGACTGGAATGTGTGTATATCCCACAATATTGGTAACTGATTACGAATGCACAGTGTATCATTTCAGCATTGAAATCGCAATGTGATCATTCACAATACACAATACTCTCATTTCAAGATAAGCATTTTAAAAGCATTCAGGCCTAACAAATTGTACCCTTTGTAACTTATAACGATTCATTTCATTGAATTATTCATAAAATAAAGACTTTGCAGAACTATTTTACATTTTATTATTCAGTTATTGCATACCTAAAGTAACTCCCAGCAAGTTACTGTAGATCAGTGGTTGCCAACCCTGTTCCTGGAGAGCCACCTTCCTGCAGATTTCAGTTGCTACCCATATCAAACACACCTGAACCAATTAATTAGTACCTGAACACCACGTGATAATTACCGGCAGGTGTGTTTGATATGGGTTGCAAATGAAATCTGCAGGAAGGTGGATCTCCAGGAACAGGGTTGGCCACCCCTGCTGTAAATTCTAGCAAATTGTTAACAGTAATCTAAAACCTAATGAAAACGTGTTGGTATTTATAGGCACTGGTGTATTTTTTTTATTCATTAAAACACTCCCTAAACACAACCTAAAAACACTCTAAATATGTGTTTATATTCTCAATATAGCACCTATTAGTCTCTTATTGCTTAAAGTAGAAATGCTTTTCATGCTGAAGTCTGTCTTTTGCTCTTTTTGCAGTGTGCAAAGATCCACCATATAAAGTTGAAGAGTCTGGATACGCTGGCTTTATCTTGCCTATTGAAGTTTACTTTAAAAATAAGGTATTGTTTTTCCTCTCTTGTGGATTATTGCCTGTATAAACCTAAGTTCGACCCGTTGTGTAACCTAAAACTCATCCAGACACCATTGTGACATGGACGAATGTAATATCCCTGTCACTTTTCACCAGGAAGAACCCAAAAAAGTGCGCTTCGACTACGATCTGTTCCTGCATCTGGAGGGTCACCCGCCTGTCAATCACCTGCGCTGTGAAAAACTCACCTTCAACAACCCCACGGAAGAGTTTCGCAGGAAGCTGCTCAAGGCCGGAGGGGTGAGTGGTCGTTAATATAGCTTTAATGCAAGCTTACATGATTGATTAAAAATTATAAAAGAGCAGAAGCTTCACTGCGCTAAATAAACAGGTTTTATGGGTCATTTGATGCTGCGTTTCTCAACCACGTTGCTGGAGGACCACCAACACAGCATGTTTTGGATGTCTCCTTTGTCTGTCAAACCCATTACAGATCTTACAGTCTGTGCCAATGAGCTGATGATCTGAATCAGGTGTGTTTGGTTAAGAAGATGCAAGAAATGTGCCAAGCTGGTGGTCTTCCAGAAACGAGATTGAGAAACACTGATTCAATGCAATCTTTAAGATGATAAAGGTCATCTGTATAGTTTTGTATTATTTTATTCAAGGTTCAATTATTTTGATCCAATACATGACAGATTTCACTATTTATTTTAAAATATTTTTAAATATTTTTAATTGAATACCAACAGAGAGAGGGGAAAAACATCACCTGATAGATCGTTGGTAATATTTCCGCAAGATGACCATGTCGCAGTTTAGCTAAATTAATTCACGCCTCCTCCTGAAGTGACGAGCCATGCATTAAAACACTGTTTTCCAGCTGCAGCCACGCTTCATTCTCAATGTATAGTTTGTCTAAAGCAGGGATACAATCAGGCAGCGCAGTCGTCCATACAGAGTAAGAACGACATATTATGTCTGCCGGTTTTGTTTACTTGCGGGAGTTCATTGGCATTTTCCCACACGTGAATTCTGACAGTAAGCAGTTTAGAAAATATGTTCAACAATATCTGGCCAATGAGAGATGTGGATTTTGTCAGATGACTCCGTTTTGGTTTGTTTCAACTGGTTCGGACCAAAGCCAGCAGTGTGGTGTGAAAATGACCCAAAGACGGCAGAAAATGCAACAATGTATAATTTATTGCCTCTGGTCCGGACCAAATGAATCGAATTACAGATGTGAAAGCACCCTCAGATGTTTCATAATGTACTCAGCCTGATGGTTTGTCCATTTACACACATTTTTATCATCACATGATCTCTTATGACAAAATCACATGAACTTTTTTAATCCGCATGCTGGAGTTTGTGCGGTAAAAGGGTTTCCATCGTAGTTTGTGTGCATCTTTTCTTATCGAATAAAAGGTTTATCCTACTCAGTTATGTTAGTCATACGTTTTTTTATCCGCATTTTCAAAATTTGTGCACATCTTGGCATTCCCATCAATCGTTTTTTAATACAAATTTACTTTAATTTTATTACATTTTATTTAATAAAAAAAAAAATTAAAGCAAATTTACATGACAGTTTTTACTATTCAGTTTGAAGAGAAAGTCTTATTTGTTTTATTTCGACTAGAATAAAAGCAGTTTTTATTTTTTTTAAACCATTTTTAAGGTCAAAATTATTAGGCTCTTTAAGCTTTTTCTTTTTCGATAGTCTACAAAACAAACCATCGTTATACAACAACTTGCCTAATTACCCTAACCTGCCTAGTTAACCTAATTAACCTAGTTAAGCCTTTAAATGTCTCTTTAAGCTGTATAGAAGTGTCTTGAAAAATATCTAGTCAAATATTATTTACTCTCATCATGGCAAAGATAAAATAAATCAGTTATTAGAGATGAGGTATCACAACTATTATGTTTAGAAATGTGTTGAAGAAAAAATCTTATTTTTATTAAACAGAAATTTGAGAAAAAAAATAATAGGGGGGCTAATAATTCTCAGTTCAACTGTATACATTTTTTTTTTAATAATTTATAGATTATTTGTTTATTTTTTTATATTTAGAATATTTTTTTCTCTTTTTACTTGTTTGAAAACGAGTAAAAACCTGTTTAAAAACCCCGATTTCTTTGATCAACAATCTATTGTTGAATGTTTAGCACACTTGCCATTAAACATCAAGTTTGCATTGATTTTAAAAACACGCTGAATTATAAGAGAAGTCATGGGTGCAAAAAATGCTATATCCAACAATAGAAATATCTCTAGTGATTTCTTTTACTTTTATTTTTAATGATCCGAATCACGATTTCAATAATTAGCTCTCGAGTCAGTGTGCATGTTCGCTAAAAGACGATTGAGAAGATTATTTCATGAGTGTTGCACACATGGCTCATTAGCTGGAATCTTCTAAACCTCATAGATGCTCAAACAAGGTAAGTGACTAGTAACCCCATGTGGTTTTAAAATCCTGGCTTCGTTCACAGGTGAAAAATGCAAGGATGTCCCTGGTTGCTTGTCTGTGCTCTTCCTAACAATCAGTCCTCCAGGGACGAAAGCCATTGTCAGGCAATCAGTCCTAATGGAATTACTGTTCCCATCAACCAAGACAATAAGTAACTTTACAGCATTTGATCAAACTTGTCTTTACATGACCGTCTGTCACTGCAGGAAACCCGAGTTGTGTTTGGACACCAGCCAAACTGTCACACACACACACGCTTTTATGAATCAACTGCTTTGTATTTGAACACACTGTTGATCTTGGATGTATTTTGATGTTTCAACAGCACCTAAAAGCACGTTAGCATGCGATGCTTTTCCCCCTAAAGGGACAGTTCACAATATTTTTCACCACCTTACAACTATTCTTTAGAACCACAATACTCCAGATCACACCTCATTTAACTTTTACAACTCTGTCACACTCTTATTATTTATTAATTATACTTACAGTCAAGCCTGAAATTATTCATACCTTTGGCAAATACTGGAAAGTCTGAAAATCTGAGGAATATACATATTTTTTCCACAATGATGCCTCTTTTACATCGTCATATTGTCTTTTGGTAGAAGCCTGTGTCATTTCTGGTTAAAAAAATAATAATAAATAAATAAATAAATAAATAAATAAATAAAATTGGTGGTTAAATAAAAGAGTAACTGTAATGCTTTGTTCACATCAGATGTGGAACGCTCAGATAAATCGTGCTATTTGCATGTAAATAGATGCATGAACATTTGAGTTTGCTCGCTTTATTCGTGCTTCAAATTCACTGAGCAATAGACGCGGATTCACAAATTGGATTTTATTAAGAGAATAACTGTGTTTATGTCCTTTATGAAGGCTAAAAAAAGCGTAGATTCATTTGGAGCAGTGTCTGAGTCCACTAGTTCATAATCATGCCCCTATGAGAGAAGGCTCCTGATTGGTTAATGCGGCGCAAATGTCTGCTGAAGTTCAGAAGCTCAACTCGTGCCCCTACATTTGTGCAAATCATACCATTCGCGCTGCCTCATTCGCACGTATTGCGCAGCAGGATGTCTATTCGCATCTTAGCATTGACTTAACATGTAAATGACTTGTGCTTGACGCTTCTTCCGCATCTAGTGTGTATACACTTTTACCAGCCTATATGGATGGAAGGATGGATCGATAGTCAGATACTGTAGGTAGATAGATAGATGGATGGATGGATGATGGATGCATGTTGCTTTGAATGCACCACTAAAGATTAGGCGTATATATATGTGTAGTATAGTAACATATAAATGGGAAAAAGTCTAGCATTAATCTAGAAATCTAGCATTAACGTGATATGTGTTTGGGTATGTGTCACTATTATTATTATTATTTTTTCCTCCATTATTACTATTGTTATATGATGTCGACAATTATTATCACTGTTGCAATCATCACAAAATATGGGTTGGTGTGCCCTATGTGTGCACGTGACTGATTACTCCTCCTCCTCCTCCTCCTCATACTATTAGTACCACTACTACTTGTGCTACTACTACAACTATTAGTGGTTGTTGTTGTTCTTAGCATTATTATTATTATTATTGGTATTATTACTATTATTGCTAGTAGTGGTATTATTTTTACTAATACTAGTAGTAGTAGTAGTAGTAGTAGTAGTAGTAGTATCAGTGGTAGTAGTAGTAGTACATAATAATAATAATTATTATTATTATCATTATTAATAAAAATACTGATATTATTATGACAATAAATGACTAATACTATTTAAGTACTATCAATATTATCCTAATTGTCATTGTGGTTTATACACATTCCTGTTATTTTCATTTTTTTTCTATTGTTGTTTACATTTTGTTTTCTGTGTTTACTTGTATGTTGTTTACTGCACTTTTTTTTAGATAAAAAAAATTTAAAAAGGGACCGTTTTCGTACATATTAAAATTTGATCATTTACTCACCCATAATTGGTTACAAACTTTTTGGATGTTTTTTTTCTGTTGAACACAAAAGAAGACGCTTTGAAAAATGTTGTAAACTGGTAACCACTGACATCAATTGTGCTCTGTAAAAATAACTAATGAACAGCTTTGTATTTTTGTGATTCACAAGTGTTTTCTGTTTATTTACAGTTTTAAATTGCATTATAGGGCCTTGATTACTGCTCTGTTGATTGTTAATGTTGAAAATTTAAATCTACAGTTTAACAAAGTGACTTTTATTGACATTTTAGTAGTTTGAAATAATATTATGACTAAGAAATAACATATAGAGAAATAAGTCTGTAAAATATCAGAAAATGTTCTGGCAGTTTGATACAAGGTTTTGGTAGCGTTATATACAACTCCAACCCAGACTTTAATCTTAAAAATCTAAATTAAAGTCTAACAAAAGGTTAAAAGTTGTTGAACGAAAGATTCCATAATGCAATTCAAAACCATAAATAAATGGGGAAAAATAACAACATGAATCAAAAAATCTAGAAAACTGCAAATTTACAGATATTTTTAGAAGATGAAACTAAACCATGGAGGTCAATGGCTAACAGTCGCAACAAAATATCTGTTTTGTGTGTGTTTAACGGAAGAAAGAAACTCAGCGGTTTCAGAACAAGTGAAGGCTGACTAAGGCCCCGTTTACACTAATGCGTTTTAGTTTGAAAACGCATAAGTTTTGCTACGGTTACGCCATCCGTCCACACTATGCCGGAGTTCTCAAGCGCCGAAAACGGAGCGTTTCGAAAACGCTGGAGAGGCCGTTTTCATTCTAAAACGCTGCTGCTCCGTCTCAGTGTGGATGGGGAAAGACGGAGACATCTGAAAACGGAGGCAGGGCTGCAGACATTCGCCTCTCTGATTGGGGCTTTTCCTCAATATTAAGTAGCCTAACACACAGTTCAGTCCTGAATCTTCTCCGTGTAAGTTCAGACTTCGCAAGTTTGATCAAGGCTGCATCTCTTCTTCTCAGTTTGATATGGAAAACATACCGAGGACACGCGTCAATCTTCACAGGGAACAGTGTACTTTATAACTTCATTCACATCACCTTGGCTACGTTGTTTCACTTTCTCAACAATAAAATGTAAACTTGATATAAGGAACTGCCTATTTTTATTTTAATATTAACAACTAAACAGACAGCAGAAATGTTGAGGCGTCGTGCTGCATATATGAGCGTCATCTTCACTGTGTGCATATTTATAACAAAACGGAGCCGATACCAACTGCCTCCTTTCAATTTCAGTGAAAATACGAAACATACCCTCTCTTTTGCTGAATATCAGTTTTAATAATCGATAATGGCCATTATAAAAGTATAACATACAATAAGTTTATACAATAAAGGAAATAAAGGCAAGCGATCAGTCAATATACAGAATGTAGGCTACGTGCTTACATTAATCATTAACTTATCTTTGCGCTCAGCCAAAACACGTTACCTGAGAACAAGTAATAGATTCCAATGACCAAAGTCAGGGAATATGTCGTTAGATAAAGACAACAAGATGAATGAAATATCACGTTTAATAAATATAGTGAGATAAGATCCAGCGGGAGATGCTTGATGAGAAGTCCGACTAGCAGAGCTCTCATCTGGGTAGATGGGCTCCAGCGATTGCCAAAGTGTGTGTGTGGTCACGTGATGTGCGTTTTCAGCGTTTTGGTGTGGACGGAGAGCAGTTCAGAAACGCTGGGTAAAACGCGAGTGTGGACGCGGATCGTTTTCATTCTAAAACGCCGTTTTAAAACTAAAACGCACTAGTGTAAACGGGGCCTAAATGTTGCCAGAATTGTTATTTTGAGTCAACTACCCCTTAAAGAAGCGATTATTCACTGTAGTTTCAGCTCGGAGTCTCTCACCTCGTTCCAGTAATTCAGATATTTTACGGCAGGGATTTGACACACCGTCTTCCTTGGTGCTTGTCTGGCTTACAGATGAGGCATGGCAGGAATTGACACAGTTTATTGGCAAACGGGCAGTTGTGCGGGAAGTTGTTTTAATTAAGAGAGAACCTTTCTTCAGGGCAATATCAATTTAGTGAGGTGGTGACTGAGAAAAGGTCCTTTCCAATTTACCTGATTGTTTTGGCTGTTGAAAGGCATTTTGTCATTACATCAGGCCAAGGAGTTAAGCAGAGTGCTTTTTTGCCAAGAATGTGTGTTCGTGTGTGTGTGTGTGTGTGTGTGTGTGTGCGTGTGTGTGTGTGGGGTGATTAGTGTTGATTCATATATCATTTCTTAGATGTAAAATTTCTATACTTTTGTCCTTCACAGCAACGGGATCCTCACAAAAGATCTTCAGAGGACTCAAAGGTAAGGATAAACTTTATTTACTGTGTTTCTGCATTGAATGGATTGTTTACTCTAAAATGAACATTTCTGAGCCTTTTGCTGACACTCAAGTGGTTCCAAACTTTTTTCTGTAAAACGCAAAACAAGATATTCTGAAGGACGTTGCAGCCATTGACATCCATCCATAGGAACAAAAAAACTAAGGGCTCTATTTTAGGTCTAAAGCACATGCCACAAAAGCATTAAGAATGTGTCTGATTCCACTTTAGGTATGCTTATTCTTCAAATGCGTTGTGGGTGGGTTTTGAGCATAACATGCTTTAAAATAATGAGATTTTCATCTCCTATTCCCTTCAAGAGCCAGTTGCATCGTGTCATAGTGCATTGCTATTTACATGGCAGACTTTGTAAGTGGAAAAACTGAACACTTCACTAGCTAGAAAACAGTTAAACAGACCATCTGCAGTGCTAGGATAAAGAACAGCCTCCTCCGTTCGGCCTCTTCACTTTCTCTTTACTTGTACTCTTTACTTCACTCCTTTACTCCTTTACTTTCGTGGAGTAAGAAAACAGTGGAAACTCACTCTACTGAAGACATCCATTAGCCTACATATTTAATTTCATTTGTTAAGTGCAAAGATTTTTCAAAACTATTTATAAATTCAGTTCTAATTTCCAGCAAACTGATAAATGAACAATAATAATGAAGTGTGGTTAAAAAACTGAGTCATATCCAAAACACATAAGCATCAGCATATGGGGCATAAGAGTATGACATGTCTCCAAAACCAGACAGGTGGACTAATCTAAACTCCATTTCTGGAACTGCTTGATGTGCTTAACTAGTTTCATATTGCTCAAACTTCATGCCATACTGCTTTTTGCATGTTTAATTCTGGCTTGATTTGACACAGTCTACATTGTATAAAAAGTTATAGCAGTAACCTGCAGTAATTCTTTACCTTGCTCAACATAGTGTCTATTTGCGTTCCTCACTTTAGGTAATGGTAATGCAGGAAGGCTCCACTTCTTTGTTCGGGCCACATCTGAAGCTGCCCACATTACCCAGCAGCTCATTAACATTGACCTTCTCTGATGCCAAAAAGAGCAAGTCGTTCCCAGGGTCAAAGGTGAGTGCGTATCCCCACCTTTCTAAGTCTAGACTTTGCATGACTTTGTTCGGTATTCGAAAAATTCCCAGTTCGTCCAAGGAGTCCTGCTTAATCCTGCATATTTGGCAGGTTGAAAGACGTTAGGGGCTATTTAACTCCAAGGATTGTAGAGATGTAAAACTTGGCTCACTTTGAGCATTTTTTGGCTCTTGACAAAGCTAGCATTTTGATGACGCACACATTCTCGTTGGATGCTATTTATCGTTTTTCAGTGTTGATCCATGACATTTAAACAAAATCAAATATTCATTGTTTGAAAAAGGCGCCAATAGCTTAATTGTGCAAGAAAACCTCAGCTTTTTATCCACTGTAGCCGTAATGCTAGTAAATCTTGCCTGGAACGTTTTTCTGATTCTGATTTATTTTTAGTCTCTAGTGCGATATCACTTAGCCGCTAAGCAGTTTCCATTGTAAGCCAGCTCTTACAGTGAAGTTACGAGAGTCGCATGGAAATGGTTCTCAATCCAAACAGGCCCTTGCGTTTGATGGATTACTGACAGAGCAGGGGTCGTTCCCAGCCAATCTCTCCTGCACTGCTAAAGAGAAGAAACAATAACCACAGCCTGCGCTTTGTTGTCTTTCTCCCCTTCCTCCACTTAATTTGATATTATGCTTGAAGATTGTTTCAAAGGTTGATTGATTGCCAACTATAATCGTTGCTGGTCAAGGCTATTTTTGACGTTGAGAAATGCAAAAGTAGAGTTTTATTGTGGAAATAATTTTAACGTATTGGTATTTGCATTCATTATGAACATTCCGGTGTCATTTAGGCCATGGGTGCCCAAACTTTTTCATATGAAGAGCCAAAAACCAAACTTGGTCAAACTGGGCCAAGGTACATAAAGTTGCATTGGGTAATTTCCTAATTCATTCATTCATTCATTCATTCATTCATTCATTCATTTTCTTATTCATTTACTTTTCGGCTTAGTCCCCTTATTAATCTGGGATCGCCACAGCGGAATGAACTGCCAATTTATCCAGCATATGTTTTATGCAGCAGAAGCCCTTCCAGCCGCAACCCAGTACTGGGAAGCATCCATACACACTCATCCCCCACACGCACTACGGATTATTTAGCTTACCCAATTCATCTATACCACATATTTTTGGACTGTGAGGGAAACCGGAGCACCCAGAGGAAACCCTCGCCAACATGGGGAGAACATGCAAACTCCTCATAGAAATGCCTACTGACCTCACCAAGGCTTAAACCAGCGACCTTCTTGCTGTGAGGCGATCATGCTATACCAACTGCGCCAACGCGTCACCCCTAACTTATTTAATAATATTTAAAAATTACTATAAAACATTGCTTTATATTAAATAATACAGCATACATTACATTTTATTGTGACCTTATTGAAGTAAAAACAAAACAATCATATTTAAAACAGAATTACACTAGTTTTTGCCTAGATTTGCATAGTTTTCTGCATAGTTCTCTATTCATCGAGTGACACTATTTACATTTTTAAAAATCATATTCATTTACAACATTTCATTGAAACATTTCATTTCAGTTTGCTTTTTGAAGCGCAGCATTAAAGAAAAAAAATTTTAAAAGTTACTTTAAAAGAGATCGTCATTTCGAATTTGAAGACATTTGCCCCAACACTCCATAATTCTCACTCTCTTCTTAGATGGGATGGGATGGCGAGCCAAATCAAAGATTACAATGGGCCAATTTTGACCTGCGAACCCTACTTTGGGCATCTCTAATTTAGACCTTGATCACACTGAACGTGCAATCTGAAACAATGAATCAAATCATAAAAATAAAGCTGCTTCATTTTGGTCTCTTGTCAAGACCAGATTTAAAACAGTAGGGATTAAGCCAAAGGAATGTTTGTATAACTCTTGTTTTTTTTTTATCCATGATCTTATTTTGTCACATTTCACTCCTGAAGAATCTGGCATCATGTCAAACATAGGCGTCCCAACTGTAATAAAATTAAAACACAAATTGCCGTAAAACTCGTCAATGCAGGAAAAGAAATAAACGAAATTTATTGATTTGATTTGATGCACATCACAATATCAGCCATGCATGTAAAGCACAAATAATGTCCTTCGATTCGGTCACATCCACCGTCAATCTCCATTTGCATATACCATTGCTCCGTTTGTTAGATGTTTCCCTCTTTTTTGCAGTCTGAAGTGCGTCAAACACACAAAACGCCCAATTTGCACCACAGGATCTTTATATCTCATCTTTGTTAGGACTTCACATGTAAATCACTCATGCTTCATCTGCGTCTGTTTTCTGCACAAGCTGAAAACTCCCCCCAACCCTCCATTCCATGTATTGTAATGTAACTCAGGGCTCACACCAAGTACAGCCTTAAACTTTGCCGAAGCGCGATTGTGTCCAGCCCCCCCTCCATTCTCCTAAGACAGCCTGCAATCATATTGCCGATTGCCTTCCGAACGTGATCACGCTTGCATCATCGATGATGCAGCTGTTTAGTTTAACAAAAAGAGAATCGCTCTTGCTCCATACACTGGCGATTGCTTTAGTTATATTGTTTTAAGTCATTTGGGATGCAGTGAAACTAAGCTAAATATTTTGCAGAACAGATCCATAACTTTTGACGCTTATAAATTATCATAAAAGTCCTTGTGCTGCAGGAATTAGGAGGTTTGCTGAAGATGCAGCTGTTGTGCAGTGAGGGGTTTGCGTTTTTAATAAACGATGACAGTTTGCGCTCATTGAACAGTAGGAATGATTTAAAGTGAAATAAAAATTAATGAAATAAAAACTTGCATCTTTTTGTTGATTTTGCATTGGATTCAGTGGTGGAATTGCGAGAAACTGGGGGGTCTCTACAGTGGCCGGGAAGTGCAAAACAACATTACAAAGTGTGAAACACTTTTACGAAGAACAAGAAAAGTACATTTTGAAAAACATTTTTGCCTATCATAAGACACAGTTATATAAGAAAATGATTTTACTAAGGGCGAAAAAAATTAACAGTTTAGAAAAAAAACTGAACAAGACAAACTGCTTTTACCAGCCCTGAAACAAATTTACAATGACAGATTCTTAACGGAAAGGGAATGTACCACACATCAAAAGTGTTGTTGTCGTTAGTGTTGAACGTTGTAAATTCGTGTTGTGAAGTACATGGCGTAAATTAAGTTTATGGTGACCGAACATGGACTGCGGTCAAGGATTTTTTTGCCGGTTTTGTGGCAAACTCATAAGCAGCTTGACGCGGTTTTGCTTTACATGTGGTCGGTGTTTGGAGTTTCTAAAAGACGCAGACATACTGCATCAATGCATTCAATATTTTAACGAGGGCCACTCGTACACTGTAATAGTGGACATGATGTCAAGTTTACACTGTGTAAACATCTGCTTGAGGACTCTTAAAAGTAAACTGAACAAAGTCAGCATTATAGCGTTTTCACAACAACAAAACATACCCATACCAAATAAATATTCTAATTACTTGGTGTCAGTTTCATTGTAAACATTGTAAACAATTTAATATTTGTGTAACAGAAAAGTGTTTATACCTAAAATTAATGTGAAGAAATAATTATAATTAACATGTCATCAACTGGATTCAAACCCAAGTCAAAAGGTTCAGCGCGAGTATCAATCGACCTATCTAACTAAGCTATTCAGGACTACACGTTAAGGTCGATTTTGATATTGTTATCAGTCAACATATGTCGTGCTTTGGTTGTGGACTTGTGTTCACTTGTTTTCATGTACTCGCGTTTACATGTTTCTACAAGCTCTCACACTGATATTTTCTCAGAAGGATGACAAACCGATGTTTTATTGCAGTTGGTCAAACCATGGTTTTTATAGTTGTAGATCCTGTGTACAAAGTCACACACGAGCTGATATTTTCGGTGTGTGGTACATTCCCTTTCCGTAAAGAATCTGTCATTGTAAATTAGTTTCAGGTATGGGTAAAAGTGTTTTGTGTCTTGTCAATTTTTTTTCTTCTAAAATATACGTTTGTTTCGTCCTTGGTAAAATCATTTTTCCTATGTAATTGTGTCTTATGACAAAGTTTCACACTTTGTAATGTTGTTTTGCACTTCCCAGCCACCGTAGGTCTGATATCAGGGATATTTTTAAAATATGAAAAACATTTGATAGTGATGCAGAAACCCACATTTTGTATTAATATAATTTGTATGTATTTATAATTTTTCTATGTTGAAACCTTGAATTTTATTTCATGTTTGATTTTCTCTGTTGTTGTAGTGCTTTGGATTTTGGAAAAGCGCATTATAAATAAATTGTATTGTTGTCAATGTCAATGTTGTTTTGCAGAGGAATCTATACCAAACAAGTAGTTACTTATAAGCATCAATGTATAGATTCTGCAGTATCAATGTGCTCCTCCATAACTATCATTGCTGTCTTTGAAACCATTAAAAAATTCTTTAATGAACTTGCATAAAACTGAGCTCTTAATTTTAGTGCGATTGCAAAAGTTTCCATTTGAAAAAAAAAAAAGGTTTAGTTAATTCCAGTTTAAAGCTGTAGCAGTTAAAACATCATAAAAGAGAGCTTAAAGGGTAGTCCGGGCAGGTTGAAACACCTCGTCTGTCTAGACTGTTTAACAACTTAACTGCATCATTGACTTATTGACAGGGGCTAGTTAGCTTGACCTGAAGATAGGATAAGCTTCTCATTAAAGTCAATGAAAGGCTTGTTGCTCCGTCCTCAGTTTGCCTCCCAGATAGATCTGAGTTGACCCTTCCCCCAGCGGAACTATTTTCTGGATCTTTTTGATGAATTGTTTATGGAAATGTTTCACATCTGGGTTTGGTTGTTTGCTCAAACTCGCACCTCATTTGTTGATTGTAATGGTAGGAACGTCCAGAATTTGAATATCTATAGCAGTCCGTTTATAGATTGTACTTCATTTTACTAACAAAAAGTACAGCAATGAGTTTTTGGCCATGTAAATAACATGGTACGTTAATATGGAATTACCTCACTACTGTTCAAAGGTTTATAGTTAGGACTTTTCAATATTTTTTGGAAGAAGCATTTTCTATTTCAACAAGACCCACTTTATTTAGCTTCATGTATATAATTTTATTTTAATATATATTATGTTTTCAGTATATTAATCAAAAATATATACAGTTAAAGTCAGAATTATTAGCCCCCTGATTATTAGCCCCCGTTTATTTTTTCCCTAATTTCTGTTTAACGAAGAACAGATTTTTTCAACACATTTCTAAACATAATAGTTTTTATAACTCCACTCTAATAACTGATTTATTTTATCTTTGCCATGATGACAGTAAATAATATTTGACTAGATATTTTTCAAGACACTTCTATAAAGCTTAAAGTAACATTTAAAGGCTTAACTAGGTTAATTAGGTTAACTAGGCAGGTAAGTGTAATTAGGCAAGTTATTGTATAATGATGGTTTGTTCTGTAGACTATCAAAAAAATATATAGCTTAAAGGGGCTAATAATATTGACCTTAAAATGGTTTTAAAAAATAAAAATTATTTTATTCTAACCAAAATAAATAAAACTTTCTTCTGAAGAAAAAATATTATCTGTAAATTATACTGTGAAAATTTCCTTGCTCTGTTAACCATCGTTTGGGAAATATTTAATAAAAGAAAAAAAAAAATCAATGGGTGGGCTACTAATTCTGACTTAAGCTGTATATGAAAATGTAATTTACCTTCAGTATTTTAAGCAAAAGTGTTTCTAGGATTTTTTGGAAATGCACAATTATAATAGTGTTTGTAAGTACTATTAGCCATCACTGTATGGAAATACAAAATGGTATTACCATTTTGCTGCACGAATAATCAAAAAAAGATTGTGATCTTGATTCGACTCCCCACGCGATCTTAATCCAGCCTCTCTACGATTCAGCCAATTATATTGTCAAGTTCGGGAGAAGCATAAAGGCGGTCGCATAAGTCTTCACATTGTTATAAATACACTGCTTGGCAACATGGACACCTCCAAATTATTTTAAAAGTAGGGATGTCCCGATCAGGTTTTTTTTTGCCCTCAAGTCCGAGTTATTTGATTCTTAGTATCTACCGAAACCCAATCCGATACTTCTATAATACATAAAAAAAATAAAGAAGATTGAAAAAACAGATCCAGGATGTTCCTTAATTTTTTTTTAAATTCACCTTTTTTTAATATTCAACAACTCTCTTAACAAACAGAGCACATCTGTGACCTCAAGTCAAGTAATAAATAACATCAATTCTTCACTTTTGGATTTTAGTGCAACAGTAAATATAAAAAAATCTAACACAAAAACAAATAGCACCACAACTGAAAACACCCGGCAGGCAATCTCAAGTTTACATATCTCACGGTTTGCTATGGCAATGTTGTCGTCATCAACTTTATTATACCTCCAGACCGTAGACATACTCGCACTTTCCGCTTCAAGCTGCTTACGTGTTCTCCTTGGCCGGCATTTAACCAATGTAGTCTCTGCAACAAAGTGATGTCATATCGCATGTGTTGCTGTTTCTGTGTAAAAATCAAGAAAGAGGTCAAACTCTGTACCACCGCATACCTACAGATGTGTTAAATTATGAGAAATGTATATATACAGGATATTCACATATATTTGAGTCTTGATCGGGAGGTAATTTCCGATCGAGTATGAAATCGCGTGATTGGGCCTGATGGGATCTCGACATACTGTACCTAGTAAAAAGTGTCACATACTGCATCTATAAGGTATAAATTACCCAAACATGTCATTTCTGTCTTAATGTAATGATGTATTCGCGGCTGCGAAATCGCATGTGAGCTGATGCACTGTTTGTTTACTTCCGAGAGTATGCACGTGCCAGCCAATGAGGTCTAATTTAAAACAAAACCTGCAAAGGCTATTAATTACAGGTAACAAGGTTGTAAATAATGTTCATTTTGTTGCATAGAGTGATTGTTCGGGAGCCGCGCGGGACGTATGATTTGCTTTTGTTTTCTTAAAGTGACGGCAGCCATGACATGAACCGCACTCGCAGGGAAAGTGAAACCGAAAGTGCGCACATCATTTATATGATCACATCACATTTTAGAGTTATGATTACGACAAGCATTACATATGTTTTGTTCTTTAATAATGAACGCAAAGTATTGTGCATGAAAATAAATGTTTATGGGGTCAGTATAACTATTGTAGCCTGTATAATGTTGCGTATAATGCTAGTTGTAAAAAAAAATTAAGTGAAAAAAAATTGCCTAATAATGTTGTCAATGACAAATAATAAGCATTAGGGGTGTCACAATTTCGATTTTTAATCGAAATCGATCGAAATTTATGCTCAATTTCGATTATCGAATCAAAAAATAGAATCGTCAATGCTGCCACGCCCCCATGTCACGTCAGCTTGGCTTGCCAAGCGGGAAAAAAACAGGCTTGTTGAAGTGCTTGTTAAAAGCAGGAGACCCGTCGACAGAACTTAATCCCTATCCTCTTTCAATGAAGTCGCCGGTGTGTAAGCATTTTGGATTCACAGCACAGTTTTGCAAGCTCTGCTATGTACGTATTACGTACGATTCGTCCGAGACAACACCGGCATTGGATCCTCCGCCCACCCCCGTTGCAAATTCGCTTGCGAAAAGTACACACTCAGGCCCTGTTTACACTGTGTTTGTTTTTAAATGGCATTTTAGAACGACAACGATTTGACATCCACAGTGGCGTGTAGCATTTCTGAGCAGCCCTCCTTCCTCTCTACCTCTGAAAATGCACATCACGTGACCACACAGACACAGCCATGCGCTCGAGACAGCAGGTCCAGGCAGTCAGAGGACTGCTTCAATCTTTCACTCACTTGTACTTAGTCATTTTAGCGAACACCTCAGATATTGTTGGCTGGTTGGTTGTGTGTCTTTTTTACCGACGCCATTATAACGAAACAGATCACTGCCTATTCACGAGTCCCGCAGAAAAAGTGATTGACAGGTGGTAATTATGTGTGTATCTTGCCTTTACACATTTACTGTATGATTTGTTTATGGGTAAAACAAAGACCATGCAGGTCAGGTAGTTTAAACGGTAGGCTACAAATAATTAATTGGTCATTAATTAATTATTCTTAATCGAAAATCGAATCGAATCGTGCCTTTAGAATCGAAAATGTAATCGAATCGAAGATTTGGAGGATCGTGACACCCTTAATAAGCATATGTCTCAAATATAATTGCTTGTTTTGGTTGTTTCTTTGGATAGAATGCTGAATTAGTTCAGTCTAACATCATCTTATTCTCGTTATAGGACGGCTCCAAAAGCAGCAGTGCTCTTACAACTACCAACAACATCAGCAGCAGCTCCCTCAAGCTCCACAAACCACCCAAGGACCACAAAGACCACAAGGATAAGCCTTCTAAAGACTCAAAAGAGTCCAAAAGTGCCTTCAGAGATTTCAGCAAGGACTCTGGAAAACTCTCTAAAGATTCCAAAAAACCCAAAGAGAATCAACCAATTCAGGAAGATCGGCCTATTCCTCAAATGGGGTTCAAGGAGCCCAAGAGCGCGTCGAAGGAGCAGCGCTCATCCGAGCTCAGCTTCTCAAGCCTGAGTCAAAGTAAACGGCGGCCTGTGCTGGACAATGAAGGCCATGTTACCAAAAAACGGAAAAGCAGTTTTTCGGAGAGCTCGCAAAAGCAGCAAGCGTGTCCTGCCCTGCTGCAGCAGCAGCACCATCATTCGGATAAAAAGGTTTTGAAAGACAAGCCGCAGATCCGGCATAATCGATTACAAAACAGTGAACTTTCAGAGAAGAAAAAGCTGCAAGCATTACCGCCCTTCCAGAATGTGTTGGACCCCAATGACTCTGATATGGATGACAACACCTTCACAAGATCAGATGTAAGTCGCTTTTAGATTATTACGACTAAATCAAAATGAGTCTTTGATTTTTGCGTAGTTGGTTAGTTGTAGCACAAGATGGTGATATTTGTAAGCATTTGATGAGCTTTATCCTACATTTTTATGGAAATACAGTTTGTAACGGCAAAATTGCCACCAATTCCTCTGTCTCTTCATACTTTCATGCCTTCATCCATGCTATGGAACTATTATCTCTCTGTTGTTTGCTTCTTCCTTCTTTTTCTGTCTCTTCCTGTCCATTTTTTCCCTCCCTCTTTCACTCCATCCATCCATCCATTCAACCCAGGATTCATTTTTTTATTAAATCCAGCCCTCAATTCTTCCATTTGTCTGTCTGTTTCATCTTTTAAACCTTCTTTTTGTCTATCCATCATCCATTCTTCTTCAGATCATCCATCTATCCATCATCTCATCCATCACTATTTCTCAGTCTTTCCCATTGTCCATTCATTCTTCTATCCATTCCCATTTCTCAGTCCATCCCATTGTCCATCAATCCATCCATCATCCCTATATCTCAGTCCAACCTATTGTCTATTCATCCTCCCATCTATCACAATTTCTCAGTCTTTCCCATTGTTCATCCATCTCCATTTTTCAGTCCATTCCATTATTCATCCATCCATCCTTCCATTATCCCTGTTTCTCAGTCCATCTCATTTTCCATTCATTCATCCATCCATCACCATTTTTCAGTTTTTCCAATTGTCTATCCATCCCCATTTCTCAGTCCATCCCATTGTCCATTCATTCTTTCATCCATCCCCATTTCTCAGTCCATCCCATTGTCCATTCATTCTTTCATCCATCCCCATTTCTCAGTCCATCCCATTGTCCATTCATTCTTTCATCCGTCCCCATTTCTCAGTCCATCCCATTGTCCATTCATTCTTTCATCCGTCCCCATTTCTCAGTCCTTCCCATTGTCCATTCATTCTTTCATCCGTCCCCATTTCTCAGTCCATCCCATTGTCCAGTTATTTCATCCATCATCATTTCTCACTCCATCCCTACATCCACCCATCCAACAATACCTCTATTAATTCATTCCTTCTGCCATTCATCCCTATGTCCACCCATTTGCCCATCCATCTCACAATCCATCCCTCCATTTGCCCCTTCATCTATCCAATCATCCAACATTTGTTTATCCCTCAATCCCTCTATCCATCCTGTGATCCCTCCATCTATTCTTCTAACAGTTCACTCATCCATTCATCTGTTTGTTCTTTCCTACATATATTCACCCATTAATCAATGTTTACCAACATCCATTTATTCAGATATCGTTCCCTTCTGATCCATCCATTTCTCTTTTTCCTCAATCCATCACTCATTCATTCATCCTTCCCTCAGCCTATTTACCTTTTCCTCCCATCCTTCATTCCTTAGTCCATTCACCAATTCCTTCAATTGCCTATTCATCCTTCCATTCCTCTATCCCTCTCTTCCACCTTCTGTCTATTTGTTTTTCCATCCATGAATTTTCATGCTATGCATTTCTAGTTCAATTTTAATATCCATTTTATTGTGCACGACCATTAATCCATCATGTAACCAATCTTATGGTAAAGTGCAATAGATTTCAGATTCTAGTTTTTGGTTCGAGCCTTTGTGTTTGATGCAGTTGACTATTAGTGAAGATCTTTTGTGGGATGCAGGCTTCTCTGTAAACATCAAACAGGGAGGTTGAGACGGGTTGTTAGAAAGCTGTGATAATGGAGGTCTGGTTCGCGAGGGGATCTAATAATCTTGGTGGGTGTCCAGGAGCCGAAGCCCCCTATTCATCTAGGTTGGATGTGGGAAATCAGCGCCAAACCTCTCAGCTTTTCAATACAGGAAATCTGGTATTTGTTCTGAGGCCTCTTCGCTTTTTTTATCGTTAAAAACAAAAGGGCTGATTTAGTACCATTTTAATTTTGTTGTATTGCAGATTGTATGTTTCAGAGTGAATCACTGCCAGACATGCGGAGTAAAATTTCGCTGCTAAACTGGTAATTGCCTAGTCTGTGGATTAAGTCTCCATTTCCATTTGTCATTCATTTCCTGGAAAGACAAAACATCAGTTTTTGTGTAGATTTATGCTAGAATGTTTAAGCTTTGGCAGTGTCACCAGTGGCAAGGTTCATTTACCTTCAGCTAGAGAGCAGCTCATAAACTGGGGGCTGTTTTATTGGCTAGAAGGCTGAGATGAGATTTATGCCTTTATGACACGGTGGAGAATGGGGAAAGGACACCATGAATAGCTAAGAGTTTTCCTTCAAAAAAAGAGAGAAGGAAAGAACCTTCAGTGTTTATGACAACTGACAAATACCAGGTGCTGTGTTTTTTGGGTCAGCAGGTCTTTTAGACCCTGGTGGCCCTGATCTGATCAACATTACTAACATTCACACAGGACATTTCTGCCTTTTAGAATGGCAGTAAAGGAAGTCGTAATTGCCCCTTTTTTCTAGACTTTTATCTAGGCCTGGGGCTTATTACTGAAAGGTCCTAACTTTAAAATCTTTTCCTATCTGTTTGTTAGCTCTGGTAATTTTAGGACCACATTTAGGACAAAAGCCATTACAGAACAACATTTCCAAAGTGCGTCATCTTATCTTAATTACAGAAGAACAGAGGAAGGTGGTATTACAGAAACAAAAAATCCTGAAAAGTCTTAACTTCAAGGCAAACTAACAAATTTCCAAATGGCAAAATAATTTGAAATCTAGTGCAACTCTTATAATGCCACTGTTTACCAATGGCATTACTTTTATTGATGATAGAAATGAAGAACAAATATGTTTAATGGTGGAAAGACATTTGGAGGATCCTGAAGTTGTTACTTTCCATAACCAAACACTTTTAAGGAATTTCAAACTGCCTCGCCACTTTATATTACAGTAAGCACCATCAACAAAGCATCATGGAGCATTACTGATTAAATTGCAAGTGACCTTTTTGGCCAAAGGTGAAAGCTTTTATTGAATAAAATGTCACATCTTGGTTTGTCTAAATGCTTGCCGGTTTTGTTTATCCATTTTGTTTAGGCTAGGTCATTTGCTGCTCGCAGATTGTTGGTTGCTCAGAAATAGTTTTGTCTTGAGAATAGTTTTAAATGTGTTCATGCTGTATAATGGTGTAAGATTGTGGCTTTTATATATGCCAAAAAGTGCATAAATCTGTCACCAAAAAAACACGTCAACAGGCAGTTAAAACATGTCTTATAAAGCGAATCAATGCATTTTTGGAACAAAAATAGTTCACATTTTTAAATGATAAACTGTTCAGTTTGATGAATAATTTACCTCATCAAATTAGTAGCATAATTTCTTTATTCTGTATACTGGATCATAGGCACGACAAGGCAAGGCAAGTTTATTTATATAGCACATTTCATACACAGTGGCAATTCAAAGTGCTTTACATAAACAAGAATAAAAGAAACAAGTAAAATAAAAATAAAAACAAATAATAAAAATGAGTAAAAAAAAAACGGGTAAAATGTGATATAAAAGAATGAAGAAGAAGAGAAAAACATAATAGTGCAATCTGTCGGAAAAACGGCTGTTTAGAATATAAATAAAAAATAACAATTCAGTAGTAGCTATGATAAACTATAGTAAAACAAAAGGTTTATACTTCTATAGGATTTTAGCTGAAACGTTTTATGAATCGCCAAATGCAATGTAACATCTATCAGCACTTCGAGAGTCAAAAATATACAGGCTACACAAAATTAATATTCTTGGCTCTTGATGATACATTGAACTCAAAATGAATCTAAACATGACATTAATATCTTTTAATATCCACAGTCCTTTCATCTTAATATTTGCATAAATTCCAATGCTGCCTCCCATTTGTTATTCTCAAAGTGAATAATTAATCAGTGCTTCCTGAAGTTAATCCATTGAAAAAAAAAGTTTGTTTAGGTAATTTACAATCAACGTCTGACCATTTGCTTTCTTTTTTGGAGTGTCTGTTTGTTGACGCATGAATGTCAATCTTATATCAATATAACTGTATATCAATAACCTTAACCATGGCCCTCTTATCCTAACCCATTGCTATGAGACTATGATGTGCAATAGAAAGCTCCGCCCCTACTTAATATTCAGTTTCAGTTGTGAAGTACATCAGCACACTGAAATAAAAGTCCCAGCAACTTCCGGTTCATGCCGTTTTTATGTCACTGTTGATTGAACTTAAAACAATTTAACAAAGTTGCCCCCCAATCAACTCAAGAATTGTGTAGTTTCAGCTTATTTAAAAAATGTATTTCAATTCATCTTTATTTCTATAGCGCTTTTACAATGTCGATGTTCTAGTCAATTGAAACGGTGTCAGTCCAGTTTTCAGAGTTCAGTTCAGTGTGGTTTAATATTCACTGCTGAAAGTCAACAAATCCATTGATGCGCAGCTCCACAAGTCCCAACCAAGCAAGCCAGTGGCGACAGCAGTGATGAACAAATTTCAGCAATTCATGAAAGTGAAGGAAAAAACCTTGAGAGAAACCAGCCTCAGTTGAGCACGACCATTTCTCCTCTGGCCAAACTTCTTGTGCAGAGCTGCAGTCTAGGCACCGGAGGCAGGAGAACACTGGATGTCCATCTTAGAGAAGCTGCAGGTGTAAGTCACTAGCGGGTGTTCAGGCCGGCCCACGGGATCAATAGTGGAGACTTGTCTGTCAATGTGGTCTTTCAGGAATCTGTCTCTCTACTCCTCCATGACCGCCACAGCATCTTCTGAGGATACACCTGGTCTAGGATTATGGAAACCTCGGGATAATGAAAAACAGACTAACATAAGTGTAGATGCCATTGAAGTTATGTGTTTTGGGAAGTGTTCCCAGCTCCCACCTCCCTAATTAATGCAGCCTAACAATCCTTTAATAGATTTGGATTTCAAAAGCATTTGTGTTGTATGTGTACGCTAATGCAAAGAGATGTGTCTTTCATTTTAAACTGACAGAGTGTGTCTGCCTGTGCTAGAAAGGC